ATCCTTGGGGAAAGCCATTTAGAAGAAACTGCTTGATGTTAGTTTATATTTCTATCTTTCTCCTTTTAAGTTGGTAACTGAGAACTAAAGAAAATTGTCTGGTACTTGTATTAAGTTGCAAGAGATTTTCTCCCTGATATTATATATCTAATTTCGGAATAACTTTTTATTTGCAGAAGGGTCTAACTCCTCCATATGTAGATGATGGCCTTATTGAGATTGTTGGTTTTAGAGATGGTTGGCATGGACTTGTTTTACTTGCCCCAAAAGGACATGGGACTCGTCTTGCACAGGTAAGAGTTAACTACAATTAACTCGGAAGGATCTTTTGGTGTAACATTGTTTGAACTTGTTATCCTTCTGAAATTATTCTTTGTGTATATCTAAGATTCACGTGTTTGGGTGGATAAGATTCCATCTGATTTTCGATATTGAGGGACTAGAACCATGAGCATGGGCATTGGTTATCGGATGTCTAGAAATGTTAACATATCTTTAGAAGAAGAAAACACAAATATGGCAGCACCATTTATGTATGTTTATGCGTGTTTAAGCTTATCTAAGTGCTGATAATAAAGCATAATTTTCATTGAATGGTAAAACAGTTTAGTTGAGTCTTGAGATGATGTAGTAACACCTGCATCTCCCACAGTAATTGCTGTTTTTATGTATGATTGGAATGAGATGCATGTACAAAAGTTTCTTGGTTAATTCTTGACATGTGTTTGATACTTGGCAACTGGCTGTATAGTGAATGCATTTCTTGGATATAAGTTTTTCATTCGGGTGGAACAATTAAATTCTACAAAAGTTGGAATTCATCCACAAATTATTATCTGCAAGTTTGTTGCACTCTCACTCTCCTGATTTTTTTTTTTCTTTCTATTTTTCTCTGTAGGCAACCAGAGTGAAGTTCGAGTTTCATAAGGGTGCAGCTGATCATACTTTCATGAGAATCGATGGGGAACCATGGAAACAACCCCTTCCAGTAGATGATGACACAGTTGTTATCGAACTTTCTAACCTTGGCCAAGTAAACATGCTTGCTACTCCACTCTGTCAAGCCAAAAGTGTATATGACCCATCTTCACCAATGGGTAACCGTGAGGAAGACGATGACAGTAACGAAGAAGACTCAATAGAAGATTCAGAAGAGAGAAAAAAGTTTGGAGCAGCTGCTACCTTCAAATTTCCAGACGGGATTGATATCGCTCACCTCAGTTAGAAGAATTAACAGACATCATTGTGCACATAGTTTTTTGCTTCTCTCCCTGGTTGATTGCACATTAGGTTTTCATTGCCTTTTTTTGTTTTGTTTTGTTTTGTTTAGCATCTTGTTATTCAGTGTGTACAGGTTGCAAACAGATTAGTTATTTCTCTTTGATTAGAATTCCAGTTGTTTCTGTTCTTGATTATCATATACATAGATCTGTAACTGTAGTGATTGATGGTTAATTGGCTTTAACTTTCAAATCAAACCGTGTGATATTTTCCGCTGGATTTATTAATCATTAACATTTCAAACTGGACTGGGAACTAATCCTCTCAGAATATAGAAGGTTGGAGTCGATTTGATGGATCAGCCATTTCATGATTCTTCCTCCTTGATAACATTATATGACCTCAAACAATAAGAGGAGAGGCCATACCACTACAATATTTTAGAGCACAGAGAGGACAAACGTACATAAATAAATACTCACATATGTACATGTAGATATCTATATGTACACGCGTCTTGGAAACATATGCCCACCACCTTCACGTACAGAGCACTTGGCACTTGGGTAATTATTATTTAAATTTCTTTTTACAAACAACAAAGTCACTCTCTTTTTGTGGGGCCTCTAAACCCCAATTCCTCTCTCTTCACAAATAAGTCTCTATTGAAAGCTGCACTGGTTTTGTAAAACCGGTGCCCGAAAACAATTGGCTTTCTTTCACAGCCCACCGATCTTCCTTCCCTAAATCGTATACCTCTCTATATATTATAAGTCACTCCTCCCACCCACTACTCATCGAGCAAAACATCAATCAACACGACCCACTAATTTCTACAACACCCATCAAATTTTCCTCCTTGATTTCTCGATTATCTCCCAAAGTGATAAAAGCTTCGAAATATGAGTTCTGCAAGTAGAGCTTGGATTGTGGCTGCAAGCATCGGGGCGGTGGAGGCACTCAAGGATCAAGGCTTTTGCAGATGGAATTACGCCATGAGATGTGTTCAACAGCATGCCAAGAGTAACATGAGGTCTTATTCTCAGGCCAAGAAACTCTCTGCACCATCTTCTTCTGCTTTGTGTAAGAAGCTGAGAGATGACAAGGCTAAACAGTCTGAGGAATCATTGAGAACGATTATGTATTTGAGTTGCTGGGGACCCAATTAATCTCCTTCCCAGTTTTGTAAATAGAATTTCCACATTCTCCATAATCAGTTGCACGGCTTCTTTTAATAGAAGTTGCTATTTTTTACTTGTTCATGCTGTTGGTGTCTTATTTTTCTCATATTGAATATATAGAAGCTAGCAAAATCAAGAGTGACATTTGGCGTGAGAGGGGAGAGATCACTGGGGAAGATGAGCAATGGGAGTTGGTGGATGAGCTTGAATAGCAAAGTGTTTAAATGATTTAATATAACAAAGTGAACTCGTACCATTAAATAAAGTGTTTAGCCGATTTAAGATAACGAAAATGAGTGATACCACCCTGTTCTCCCCTGAATCGGATTAAGAAATAAGTGTACGAGTACTGCGATAAAAATCATATCTTTTTAACCAAATAAGTATTTATTTTATTATAAAAATTTTATTTATTGTAAATAATGTTATATCATGTATTCTAAAGTTATAATGTAACGCCCAAATAATTTGTGCATTTTTTGTTAGTATTTTATTAATTTTATTTAGTTTAATTAAAAAAAAAAGTGACACGTCAGCAGTCACGTCAGCGGCTCAGTCAGTAGCCCTGGCCAACCAGGACCTGCCGCGTGATAAGATCACGTCGACCAGGGAACGGGCCACGTGGGCGATCCACGTGCGCACGATCGGACGGCCCAGATGCGTCTTCGCGCGCAAGGACGACCCAGATAAAGCGTGCGCACGGACGGCCCAGATTTAATCAAAATGAACGGCTGAGATCAAAAGGCAAAAGGGTATAAATAGAACCCCCACACCTGACCACAAATACCCTAGCCGCCTGCCCTCGCCGGAGAAGACGAACCAGACGCCTGAGGAGCCGGCCGCCGCCACCCGCAGCCGCACCGGGGAGTTTTTCGACCGCCGATCGAGGTAAATTTCATACTCCTGACTCGTTTTTCCACGCTGAGTTCCCATGTGGCCAAATCGGAGCCAAAATCCCGGCCAAACGGCCAGAAAACACGGCCGAAAACCCAGCAGCGCCACCGCGCCCCTCCTCGGTTTTTGCCTCCGATGAGGCCCTTCCCGGTCTCCGTTTGATGCAATTTTTATATCACCGTGATCACCATTTTTTTTTCTACATGTTGATCGGAGCCGAATCACCAAAACACGAACCTCGCCGGAGAGCCGCCGCACCCGAGAGCACCGCCGCCGGTAAGCTTCGGTTTTTCGTAATTTTTTTTGGCCCCCGAGGGCCCTAGGGTTGTTTTATCACAGGGACCGATGTAAGTAATGTTATATCATGTATTCTAAAATTATAATGCAGTTAATATTTTTTTCGATAAATTTTTATATCACCCGAGAGCCGCCGTGCCGGAATTGCGATATTGGCCGAAAGGGGCCCTGGGTCTAATTTGGGATTTTTTTGGAACACGTGCAAGTACCAGTAGTGCGTTTCAGTTCCCCGGAAAAAATTCAGGGAAAATTAGGGACAGCCTGTAGGCGCACCGTGGAGCCGTGTTCGGACCCCGAAAAGAGTAAGGACCCCTCACCCTATTTCCTATCATGGCATTAAAGTTCAATAAATGATAAAACGGTATTTCATGAATCAATAGATGTGTGAAATTATTTAAGGTCGCTAATGGAGCCCGAGTCTGGCGTGTTTGTCGGTCAGCTGTTGTTTGTCATATTTTACAGTTTTAAATGCAGTATGAAGCTTGATGTTTTTATTTCATAGTTTCGTGTGCATATATCACTGTTTTATTGATTATGAGTTGAATGACTGAGAACCCGATGTTGTATTTTGGCTTGTTTGTCATGAATTACTGGTTGTTTGTTTGTGTGTGATTTGATGATGCTGACTGAGGAAAAGGAGAATGAAAGGTTATGTAAATTGATAATTGTATAATGTGGTCAGCCTGACTAGATATCCTGGGAGATGGTGGACGGACCGGGTCCGTAGAAAACCCTACCGGGATTGTGGTCTCTCATACCGGACGGGGTATGGGGACGACCCGTTTCACCCTCATACCGGACGGGGTATTGAGGTTTATAGTTTTGGCGCCCATACCGGACGGGGTATGGGGAAGGCCCTGGAATCTGATTACAAGTGTTAAGGGTTAACGGGTAGCGGGACCCCTATGGATCCCTATGGATACTAGTAGGCTGGTAAATGAGAAAAATATATTGTGTAATGATTGAATTGCAAAGGTGTGATAAGTATTATGTTATACAGCTCATATGATTTCATGATAATGATAATGTTACTGTTTTCGTATATTGTTTTTATGAATTTCACCGAGGTAAGTGGATGATAAAAATTTTATTATTGATAAAAGAATTTGTTATAAATTATGCTCCATTGGTCTTTTTGTGTTTTCTACCCACCTTTACCTCCGTGACGGTGAAATATCGTGATGTCTTTACTGGGTTAGTGTAGCTCATTCCTTATTTAATCATTTCAGATCAGGAAGACATTGTTCCCGAGCCCGTTCCGCAGGAAGACAACGAATGAGACGCCTAAAGACTCCATAGTCATATTCATAGCTTTTACTTTCGAGTTTCTCTTTTAGTTAGTTTGATCTTTTATATTTTGAGCACGTTTTTGGTTTTAGTGTAAGGGATGTAATCGAAATTTTGACTTCGTTTCCGCATTTAACATTTTTAATACACATATTTCATTTTGAATTTTCGGGGCCGTTACATATAATGTAGTTAACATCTTTTTAGATAAATTTTAGTGATGATTAATTAATGTATGATAATGATATAAGATGGAGATGATAAATTTTTTTTATATTTCGATGATTGTATATTAATGATATATTTTTATTTGTATGATAAAATGATATGATTCTATTTTTAATTAAATTATTAATTTATTTTTATGTAATAGTAAGTGATATATAAAAAATATATAATAAAAAAAATTAAATTATTTATCAGTATAATTATATTTATATTTAAATAAATAATTATTATAAATTAAATTTTTATATTTAATAAAATAAATAATAAATTGTGTGAATAAAGATAGAATTAAATATATTATATGGGAATATAAAAAAAAAAAAAGTAATCTGTCATTCATATACTACCGATTCGATAGTTTTAAAATTATTCTAAATTTATTTTTTAGATACCGTTTGTTATCATTAAAAATAATTGTATGAGTATATGTGATAAAAATTATATTTTTTAATCAAATAAGTATTTATTTTATTATATAAATTTTATTTATTGTAAATAATGTTATAATGTTATATCATGTATTGTAAAGTTATAATGTAGTTAACACTCTGTTTAGTAAATATTTTGTTAATTATATTTTTACTGTATATTTAGTGTTTGACAATTGTAATCTCTTTAGAAAAGAGCAGAATATCATAGTAACATTATACCTTAATGTTTTGAAAGACGTTCAGACAAGTATGAAACTATGTATCAGACAATAAAAATTGTTAAAAGTAAGAACACATATAAAGTAATGTGATACACTTCATCACATTTTGACATGTATAAGACAATATTTGAATAATTTCTAATTTTAATTTATAAAGTTACTATTTGAGAGAAAAATATGAAGTTTCATCTTCCTTTTTTGTGGGTATTATAAAATATCTGTATGAAATTCTTTTGGTTGATTGGTGTATAATTATAGACTTCTTTTAGAAAAATTATATTCCAGAAACTTAATTGTCAAGATTAATACTCCAATATTATAGCTAGCAAGAGTAAGAAAAAAAATTATAGATATACATAAAATATATATTTGAAACCGTGTGCTCAAACACTAGCAAGTGGGTAGTAGTTATATATGCGCATAAAATATATATCACCATACGTATACAACTTTTGCTGGTTTTATAATCACAACCACTTTCCCAAATGTCTCTTTCTCAAAAAATATATATATATAAACAACTTTTGCTGGTTTTGTAATACAAGTAGCTAAAAAACAACAGGCTTCCATCATCATCCACCTCTGGTTTTCTCCCTTTGTCGTCCTCTTCCGTCTTTCGTTTCGCCGCTTCTCTTTATATAAACAACTTCTTCACATCAATCCTCACTCAGCCAAGGCCAAACATAATTTCAGATTACTCATCTTCCAATTTCCAAATTTCCATTTCATTTTCAATTACTTTCTAGAAAAATATGAGTTCTGCAAGCAGAGCATGGATTGTGGCTGCAAGCATCGGAGCAGTGGAGGCACTCAAAGATCAAGGTTTCTGCAGATGGAATTACGCCACGAGGTGTGTTCAACAACATGCCAAGAATAATATGAGGTCTTACTCTCAGGCCAAGAAGCTTTCTGCTCCATCTTCTTCTGCTTTGTGTAAGAAGCTGAGAGATGAAAAGGCTAAACAGTCTGAGGAATCATTGAGAACTGTTATGTATTTGGGTTGCTGGGGACCCAATAACTAAGCTTCGCTTCCCTTTTCAAAGTTTTGTACATAGATTAAATATATAAATTCTATTTTTTCAGTGATTAGTTACATGGGTTATACAGAATTCTCTCCCTCTTTCTTCTCTTGGTCGATGGAACACGTAACCTCCCGGTGATCTTGAAATAGATTACTTACTAAAGCTAATTCTTGTTGAGTTGAGATGAAGTAAGATAAAAGGAGAACGACGCGGAGAAAACAGGCGTGGCGGCTTCAGACACAACAAAGCTAATTTGGTCTGGACCGGGACGAACAAAGTTATACCCAGTTTAGCTTTTTAGTCCAAAGACATTTGGATTGAGAGTGAGGTTCTCACATATTTTTGGTAGAACAAGTGACAGACAGAGACAGATACGTTAGGGAGGTGTTCGATGAAGGGGAAGGGAGGATGGAATGACATCATCTCAATGCGATGCATAATCTTAATGATTTGCAGATCGAAGAACATGAATCATTACTAAATATTTTATTTTCAATTTCACTCAATGAGCAATCTTTGTGGACTCTTAAGCGCTCCGGTCAATTCACTGTGGGTTCGTTCTACAAACATCTAACCGAGAGAGAAGGTGGTGAAGAAAATTTCTCTTTTAGACGGATATGGAGACTAAATACACCGCCAAGAATTACTTTTTTCTCTTCTGGAAGTTGCTTGTGTAAGCATTTTGACTATAGACAAGTTAATTGATATCTTCCTATGAAAGGTTAGTAATAATACAGGATTTTAATAATAAAATTAATTATGTTTAAAAAACTTGTATATTAATATATTTAGATTGATGGGATGATATGATTGTATATGGAGTTAAATTATTAATTTATTTATATATTATTTTATATAATATTAAATAAAATATAAAAATATAATTAAATTGATATTTAAATAATAATAATTATATATTATTATATTAAAATTTTATATTTAATAATATATAATTATTATTTATATTATCATATTAATTTAATTTTAATAAAATTAAAATTATTTATATACTGAAAATAGATGACAGTAATTATATATTATTATATTAAATTTAAAATTATTTTAAAAAATAAAAAATTGAAAAGTAATGTAAATAATAATTTATTATGAGTTAATTTGTAAAATTTATTTATTTATTTATTACTCAAACAATTAAAAAAAAATAAAGTGTTTCAAATAATTAAAGGAAATTAGGATTTTTTAAGGATAAAATAAGAATTAATAAAATTTAATGAGGGAATAATTAGAATAAAAATATGAGTCTATAAAAAATTATTAAATTGGTGGTTTTAAAAATTCGTTCAAAATTTATATTTCAGATATCATGAAACACCCTCAAATAACCATACCATCAGGAAATAAATAAAACTTTATTATTCTAACACCATACCCTATATTAATTAACCACGAAATACCACCATCTTATCTTCAATGTCGTATTGCATATAATTTATGGTTTATGGTCTTTGAGATTTTAGGGTTAAATTGGATGTTGACGGGCATTATCAAGGATTAAATTTGGGCATGGAAGCGTACTGCGGATCAAAAGAAGTTATTGGGGCTCATTCATTTAGCTATTTCTTGGGTTGTATAGAATGAGAGGAATAGAATAATTTTTGAGAGAATAGAATATGGTATAGACAGAATTAAAAAGAGGTGGTTCTAGCTTATTAGTGTGTTCATAATGAAACAACAATTGTTTTCATTGAAAATTTCAGTAGAGATCCAGAACCTTAAGGAAAATAAATTTATAATTTAAATGCGGAAGCAACTAATATATTAGGGTTTACATTTCTTACACAGTAAATTAGAATGCCCAATAGGTCTACCGGAATGTTTTTACTACAGTGGCTCGTAAAAAAAGAAGCAAATAAATGATTTAAAACAAATAGATAAATATCTTAGGGTTAACCTCCATTAGCTCTTGAAGATGTCCGAAAGGTAAACTATTCACAGCCTTCTTATTGATCGGGGTCTAGATTTTGGTCATCTTGATCTGAAATAGTTAATAAAAAGATGAGATACACTAACCCAACAAGAATATCACACTACTCATCCTGATACGAAAAACTAAAAATTGGTAAAAATAAAAAAACCAGCTAATGGAGCTCATGTTTTAATTAAGTATATTTAGCTTTAAAACGTTTGTTTGATATTTACCGTTACGTATTTTCCAAAAAAATAACTTATGAAGATCCATATCTATACCACTTTTCATTTTCACGTACAAGTAAACAAGAAACGACAACTTTCATTTCTTACTTGCTTACTTGGTACCTTTAGGGGTCCATAAAGATGTATCCCTATTCGTGAACTCAATATCCAATTTTAACAATTAATCATCCGTCCTCATACCCCGTCCGATAGTGGGCGCCAAACATTTCATTGCCTCGATACTCTGTCTGATATGAGGGTGAACCATATCTCCTCAACATTTCAGTAAGGGACTTCCCAGCCCCATTCGATTGAGATAATATTTACGGTAGGGTTCTCTATGTACCGGGTTCGTTCGCCATTTCCTTAAATAATCAGTAAGTCTTTCATATAAAGATTATATCAGAAAAATAACCAATAAATGCATACTAATATTTCATATTATATTTACAGATCAATTAGATAACATTTATTCAAACGATATAGTTTATCATAACAACGGATCGAGTAACCAGATAACTGAATAAATTAGATAAATCGATAAGACCATAGAAACTATAAATTAAGAACATGCACCATATAAGAACAAACATGTAACGACCCCAGAAATATCTAAAGGAAATAAAGGATAATTAAAGTGCGGAAGCGTAATAAATATTCAAGATTTACGTTTCTTACACAAATAACTTAAAGTAACAAACAACGTTACATAATTCACTCTTTTGAAAGAAACACAAGAATAAGGAAATAAACGGAAAATAAAGAAATCTAGCATCTACTCGCAATCCTCCTGCAGATCAGGCTCTTGAACCTGGTCATCTTGATCTGAAATGGTTAAATAAGGGATGAGCTATACTACCCTAGTAAGGATATCACACTATATCACTGTCACAAAAGTAAAAGTTGGTATAAAATCAAAACACTAATAGAGCACTTAATTTAAATAAATTCGTTTATCATAAATAAAATCATTTACCGTTCACTTACCATAGTGGGATTCATAAAAACAACCTATGCAGACAATTAATATCATACTGATCATGGTTTCATGTAAAATCAACAATATAACACATATAACAAGTTTATATACATCGTCAATAAATCAAACAATAACTATAACTTTTTTCATCAGCCTACTAGTATCCATAGGGGTTAATAGGGATGCCTCCGCTACACGCGAACTATTTTCTTTAACAATCTCAATTACAGGCTGTCCCCATACTCCGTTCGGTATGAGCACCAAATTATTAAACGTCGATACCCCGTCCGGTATGAGCGCCAAATTATCATGTCTTCATATCCTGTATGGTATGAGACAACGTTCACGGTAGAGTTTTTTATGTACCCGGTCCGTCCACCATCTCCCAGGATATCCAGTAAGACTGCTGTCTTCATCTATTTATTTTCCCACACAACTTTTCTGTTTTCCATTAACCTCCATTTGCTAAATCAACCATAATCACATAAGCAAACAAACATGCATTAGAGAATACAATCATATATCAATTTTTCAACCAAACATGTAAGGCAGTAATACGTGCATTCAAACTATAAAATTGATAAATCAGATACTACCATGCCTTTAATCTGTAAAATAAATCAACAAAAATCAATAGAAAATAATTTTTAGTTTTGACTCCATTAACAATTCGTAATTAATTACATATTTATTAAATTCGCACAAAATACTATATTATTATTTATTTAAACTTCAATTCTATGATAGGGAATAGGGTGAGGGATCCTTACTCGATTTGATGTCTGAAAAGCTAAGCTATTCAATTGCGCCTACGGACGATTATCAGGTTTCCTGAATTTTTCTTCGAAAATTAAAACGCACTAATAGTACTTACAAATGTCCCAAACAAACCCAAAATCAGTCCCGGGGAACACCTGCCCAATTTTAGAATTCTGGCACGGCAGCTCCGCCGTGCTCAAGTGACGGTGCTGTTGCTTGCGGCTGTGGTCTGTCTCGGGTTGGCTGTTTTCGGTTGAATTCAGCCGATTTTGCATTGATTCCTACGAGAAAACACATTCAAGGGCATCGGTTGACCGAAAAAATACAAAAAATTGAAACTCACCGGTGGCAGGGCCCTCCGGTCGGTGGCTCCTCCGGCTCACGTTGCGGTTGAGTGTTTTGCTCTGGTCAACCTGTAGAGAAGGACATGGTGATCACAATAGTGGAAAAATTATACATAATGGGAATCGAGAAGGGCCTCATCGGAGGTGTTTTGTGAAATTTCCCGCAACGGCGCTGCTGGGTTTTGTCAGCATTTTTCAGCCAATTGGTCGACCTTTTTGCTCTGATTTAGCCATGAGTGAGCTTAAAATTGAATTCCGAACAAAGTAGGAAGTTTTTTGGCGGTCGAAAAAGGTTCTAGTGTGGCGGCGGGTGGCAGCGGTCTCCTTCCCGGTGGCCAGGTCTTCTTCTCTGGCAAGGGGTTCTTGGGGCTAGAGTTAGGATTTGGTGCGAATGGAAGTTATTTATATCCGTCCGCTTTTGATTTGGGTCATTCATCGCGTTTGATCTGGATCGTCCGATCGCGATTAAATAGGGAGTGAATCTGGACCGTCCATCGCGATCTAATATGTACTGTCCGATCGTATTTGTATCTGGTTGTTCGATCGCGTTTGGGAGGGAGCGCATCCAGGCCGTCCGTGCTCGTGGGAACAGACCTGGCCGTTCGATCGTGGGTACGTGGATCGCTCGTGTGGCTCTTCGAGTGGCATCGCATCAGCGCCCGTTGCCACGTGGCGCATCCTGGTTCGTCGGGATTGTTGACCGGGCATCCTATGTGGTAATTTTTTCTTAAATTACGTTTTGACCTCTGGTTTTTGATTTTTCTTTCAAAAATACTCATAGAACTCAAATTTGTATCCATTTTTTCCAAAAAAATTTCAATTTCATCCTCCATCAATTTTACTTCCTTTTT